TCTCTTCAAAGAAAAGGAATATTGTCAGTGCAAAGGTCACTCATTCTGAACTTTTGAAAAGAATTATTCAGGCTTATTCTYTTTCCATACATAAAATTGAAAAAGTAGCCAATTGTATCCTCAGACTTGCAAAGCAGTGTTACAGCAGACTATTTCCACAAGCACTATGTAAACTGCAAAAATGRTGCATTTATTTCTTCCATGTCTTCATTCTAAAAAATTTAAAATAAAGCAAATAAAACAATAATTAGAATTGTTAGATTCCTATGAAATCTGAAAGTGTTTAACTAAATCTTTTCCAATCATTTCTACTAAAAAATGATGAAACAGAGAGGTTAGTAAATAAAAAGTAGAAAACAAAATATTTTAACTTAACTAAAACAGACCTTTTCTTCTTGCTGAAGTTGTTTTGGGTTTTTTAAAAATTATTTTGAGTAACTTTGCAAATACCTCAGATTTCACTCGTGTTTTTAAAATATATAACCATTCCATTCAAAATATATAACCATTCCATTCAATGTTAGCAACATCATGCATGGTGCCTGTGTTTGTATGTCCAAATTACTTTTTCACCTGTTTAAACATGACCTGTGGGCTAAAGGAGACCATTTGTATTTGATGTTATAAGCAAAAACATTGTTCTACTCTAAGTATTTCTTTCTAGCGGGGGAAAAAAAAAAAAAAAAAGAAAGAAATAAAAAATTGGTTTCATTCCAATTCCTGGAAGGTGAGATTTTACATTGCCGTTTCACATTTGGCATGGGCTGGCATATTTGCTGGCACAAACTCAAGGCTTAATGAGGCTTAAGAGAGTCTTGCAGCCTCCATAACCACAGGCTGACATTGAGCTTAGTGCTGGGTGTACACAGGGYGTGTGATTTGTGCACCCACAGCCCATGAGAACGTAGAGTAAAACAGCCTGGTATTGCTGAGTTCCACATCACTAAGGCTGCATAAAATCCGTGCCAATTTGGGCAGCAGAGGTTCCCTGGGGAGATGTAGCCCATCTTCGTGGAAAGCTGTGTGTGAATGGATCGCTGTGCTTTACTCCCTGCTCGGTTTTGAGRCACAGACACCAAACCTCTGCTTTTGCTCTGAACTTCCCCATCAACAGCCTTCTGAGACTGAATCCTTATGGCAGCAGGAAAGAGGAGGAAAGCATATTATTTCTTGTATATACCACAGGGGATCCTAAATTAAAAGCTGAACAGAGGATCACAGACTTGCTCAAAGAAGCTGTTCTAGGCTGGAAATCCAGGGATGGCAGAGTGCAGTCATGACTGCATGCAGTCCCTCCCGTGTCATAGTTTATCCTCAGTTTATCAGGGGTGAATTCAGTGCTTTGAACTTGGGCTAGGGATGCTTGCATACCATGGCTGTGGCTTGCCAAACCCTGCCACGTGAAGATAATTCTTGATTATATTGAGTGTTCAGTAATAAGTGGTAATGTGAGTCTGCAAAATGGAAGTTACGTTTTGAGAGGGTCCTGTTAAAAGTTGTGTAAATTTCAGTTACAAATGCATCAAACATCTTTATTGGTATAAGATGGCCAAGGAAGTTGCTTTGAGTTTCACCTCTATTAGGGATTATTGCATCCCTTAGTCTGAGASAGTCAGGCTGTTTTCAACATTGTGCTACCAGTGAATTTGAATTAAGGAGTCATGAAAAGTTAATGTTTAATGACTAAATAAGACATACAGGGGACTACCTGATGAGTGGATCTAGCCCATTTATCCTTATTCAGGTGGGACAGTTTGGGTATGACGGGCTGTGTGGGATAGCTACACCTTCCTGGATTCCCAGTCTCTAATAACTGTAATTGTTTTKTTCTGGCCAACATACTTAGGTTTTTTACAGAGGGTTTTGAGATGTCAGTAATAGATATTCCACAARTATTTTGCTATTTCTTCTGTGAGAACACAGCTTTTTAAAAATAATATTTTTTTTGTGGTGGATTAGAAGGATAATTAAAGAGTAGGAGTTAAACTGTCTAATYGTCAGTAAACTGTGCACTGTGTACWGAGAAAACTCACAGTCATTAGGAGCTCCAGAATGTGCATTTCAATAATAAGCATAGTTTTAGAAAGAGAATTCGCTGAAGCTTTGGATTTTTTTTTTGTTAAAGCAACCAGTCCTCTAAGATCGGATTTCTTRCAATAAGGATCAAGTTGGTATTGGTTTTATCCCTGAGGAAAGGCAAAATTCACCAACTGATGAGGAAAAATTATGAGCAAAAAWTATTTTTGTATCATTAAGGATGAAAGTTATTGTATATTGTTTTATTATCAAATAAAACTGTTAATATTCAGAGAGCTGTCTGCAGCATCATTCTCTATTTAGGGTTTACTRYTTTAAAAGTTTAGTTAAATTCTTGAGGCACAGAACAGAATTTKCTCTGAATGTCAGTAAATGTCTAYTTTAYTTTTTGACAAAAACTCTTGGAGATRAAAGGGAATGTGAAGGATCATACAGCATCTTTGCAGACACTACTTTCTCCAAGCAACAACAACCAGACAGTAAATCTTYAACAAATCAAATTTTCTTTGGTGATTGTTTGGTAATTTTTGTTGAATGAAAATAAAATTTCATTAGTTTTAAATTCYCTTCCCACTTTCTTGAGTATCCCAGAGAGTCTAATAAGCTGTAAGCTTCAGTGCTGAAAGAAATAGAACTAATAAATCAATATGATAATATTTGTTTCACAGCTTTCCTTCCTCTAATGAATGGTGTTGAGTTTCCATAGTTTAGTAACCTGACATAAGGTGTTGTCCTCATCAGCAGCTCGATGGAGGCAGATTACCATTGTGGAGCTTTAGAAAGAAGAATACAATTTCAAAGAGGTTAAAATTCCAAGAAAACAGTGGATTTTGATAAATGAAAGTTGTGGAAATCTGTTGCTGTTTTTGTCTGTTTTTAAAAGCGATCATCATGATCACAATTATCTTTTATGTCAGCCTTGGTGTTTTCATTGTCAGCCCCTGTCAGTCAGGGAGGCAGAAAGGAGGGACATTGTATTGTGCAATCCCTGTGCTCACMTCTGCCCCGAGATGTGCAGGAAACTCTCCCAGTTTATCTCTGCTTTCCTGGTACATCAAATGTGCAGTTGGGAGAAGGTTCCAGGGAAGAGCATGAGCATCTGAGGGTGGTTGTGAGAATTTCAGAGCAGCCTTAGGCACTGAGTGTTGATGGCACTGTGCTGGTGAGTCTCCAAGGTGCCTTGGACAATCCTCCCTAAAAGGTTCCAGGGAAGATATTTTTGTAGTGGAGTGAAAAAAGTTGATTTTTCAAGCACTAAAGGAAGACTTCTGAAAGTACTGTGAACTATTTTCATATATATTCAACAAGTTCTGTTTCAGTTTTTAGGCACAGATTTAAATCTTGATTGTCTATTTATCTGTTGTCCAGTGAAAAGATAAATACTATTTAYTTGGTTTTTCTTTTTAATATTACCATAAATAAGTGCACGTAGGCAACTCAGCTCCTGAAAGATGTCACACATCTAAATAAATCAAAACACAATTATTTTTCAGTAACTACGGATATTTTTCATTTTCTTATGAAACCATCTAGCAATGATGAAAATTAATTKGAGTTATGTATCATATTTATCAATGCAAATTATATTCTGCTAAGTGTTCTTTCAGTCATTAGTTCTCTACTGGACAGGTATGAATCCTAGGACTTCARCTTTTGTCTGCTATTAAAAATGGCTCTCCAAGTAATTTTCAAAAAAAGAATTATGCTTTYAGCTAAATATGTGTTTTGCAGAAGGTACATATTTCAGGCACACTTTTTTTGACACTTTTTTTTTAAAAGAGAGCACCTATCCAGAAATATTTATGTTTTGACAGTTTTGTTTTCTAAGATATCAATAGCTTTATATGGCTAATTTTGTAGAAGACATTGGCTGTTTTCTATAGGGAATGAATGGGTAAAAACTTTTAAAAACCTTTAGTAACAGTGACAGTCCATTTTGTCCCAAAGTTTGCAGCTGAGTACTGTGGGCTGTGTACATTTATGAATAAACATTATAGCAAAGCTTCATTTTCATAAGTATTGTGTATTTGCCACCCTTTTAGAGTCGCAGGGAACACAATTGAATAGTAATATTCWTGAAGAAAGAAACCATAATTACATGTTAAATATTTTAACAAAGACAAATTGATTATTAAGGTTGTTTTTTTCCACTCTCAGCTCTTGAGAAATATCCCTTCGGTTATTACTGAAAAGTAAAATAATCTGACTGGGGGCCAAAATACATTTGCCAAGCAAGGATGGGAAGGCTGAGCTTTCTTGAGGGCAGCAAGTAATTCTTAGATTGCAGTTGCTTTTGGTATTCCTGTAACAGGCCTGATCCTGCACCACTGAGATCAAAGGTTGTTGAAGAAAGTTTTATGTGGAAAAATAGAGCTTGTTTGACAGTCCTGTTAGTTTGGTCTAAACTCGTAAACAAACAACTGAATGAACAGACACATTTAGGCTTGACTGAAAAATTTTGTTTTTCTTTTAAGTAAGCCATGCATGGTGATGAACAGCAAAATAAAATTTGACCTTGAAAATGATAAAAACCTATTCCTGTTAGGAAAAGAATGTAAAATGTTCTTATGTGGCTTTCATTGATCTTGTGGGTTTTCTGCACTCATAAACTTCAAAATGTATTGAACRCATTGATTAATTTAATAAATTATCTTCCTTAAAAGCCAAAGCTGTAAATAATAATATCCATTAAAATAAGAATTAATTAGATGAGTGAATAACAGCACTGTCTGATTTTTATGAGCTATGTCTATGTACTTAATGTACAAAATAATTGTATTCARACTGGTAAAAGAAAATTTGTTTTAACTGAACCATTGTCTTATTATCTAATGTCCAGTGAGGGTTTTTCTTCTCACTGACCCCATTGGTGTCCAGAGATGTCTTTATTTAGAAAGAAATAGTGTTGAGGATCAAGAAATATGAGTAACTACTTTACTATGCTACTGTCTTTGCTATTTCAGAGCTGCAAGAAACGAAGACCTCWGAGTATCACAGGATATCCCACAGTCCCCTGGATTACAGGATATTATTGATGGATGAAGATCAGGATCGGATCTACGTGGGGAGCAAAGATCATATTCTCTCTTTGAATATTAACAATATAAGYCAGGACCCCCTCAGTGTAAGTTCAAGTTTTAGTTTGAGAATTTGAGGTTGCATTACTCCATGTYTTCACTTTTGAGACAGAAAAGTAGTATTTCATTATTTTGCATGGAAATCCATGCRCACACCTTATTGGTTCTTATGTGTAATGCAGATGAAGCTTTTCCTCAAGTACTGTTTAAAACTGACCTGTTTATTAATTTTGAAGCAGCATTCAGCTTGGCCTGGGCTCACAAGGAAAATTTGTATGGACTGACACTTTCCACCTCTCTCCAAGATAAGACAGTTCAGAGATGCACTTTGAAAAGAATCCTGTAAGGAAGAATGAGATACACACTATCATTCGCAGGCCATATGGAATAAAAACAACAAGGACAAAGTTGTCCTTAACCTTTTACTTTTGTTGTTGTTGTTTTGTGCTCCAAATCACTGAGCYATTTTCCAATCTTTTGTTATGTCTGTGTCAGCCTTTGCCCTTCAGTTGRGTAGCTGAGACAGCTCATTTAGGGTTTTTTGGGCTCTGTGACCCACATCTATCCCTTGACACCGCCTCTTTTCTGGCTTCTCTCACTTATTGAGATGTTGTTTTCCAAGGACTCTTGTGTTCCCTTGCCAAACAGTAGTAGGCAGCCTCTATGTGAAAATAATTACATTATCAAATGCTTAAGCCGCTTTCAGAGTGGCTTCCTCTCTTGTCTCCACAGTCAGCTGAAATTCAGCCTCTGCTTTTGAAATAGGTGACCTGCAGAAGTAGCTGAGTGCCCAGAAGCTTGCCTGTTGAGCTTTTACCTCTCCACAAACTTTGTCTTGCCTATCTTTAGACTATCACAGCTACTACCCTGCCTGAGAGTGCACCATGAAGGCCTTGTTCCACCAAATCCATGCAATCCTTTAATCTGTAGATTTTTTACTGTACCTCAGCAGGACTGAGGGACAGTGATTCCTGGCTTGCAGTAGGAAGATAAATGCCTTCCTTAAGAGACAAGGCTTTTAATGTGTCAGGGGAGAGAGAGGGGCCCTGCCAGAGAGTGATTGAGCACAGCTGAATTAGGATTTGCTCTGAATCACCCTCTGGACATGCCTGTCCACCTGAATTGATTGTGCAGAGAGCCAGGGAGGCTCATTCGAACTTACACATTTAAATTAAATGCCTCTCATTCAATGGTGTGAATGCATCCTTCCCTCCCCATAATGGTACCCAAATCTCCCTCCGAAATGGGGCTGCCTTCTCGATCTGAAATACCTTCTGTGACCTTTTTGCTAATTTCCATCTCCCCAGRGATGCAGCCACCCTGGCCTGGCACACTCCCTCCGGTCCCTGACAGGTCGGGTTTAATCCTCTGCAGAGTTTGGTGAGGTAGGAAGGCATCTGCAACATGAAATATTTTCTGCAGTATAAAACTGTGAGGCTTTCAACAGCCCATGTAGGCCTGGAGAAACAAGAGTAAAATAAAATTCAACAGAAAAGACAAACACACAAAGCTTTCTGGCAGTAAATGCAATCACCCAGTATTAGGCTTAGAATGAATCTCTGCAGTTCCAGAGTCTTCCATTTGTTTATTTATTTTGAGAACAGATTCACTTTGCTGACCTTACATATCTATAGAAATCCTGTATACATATACATTCAAATACACAATTCTACATATATACATATATGTGTACATATATACACAGAGATCTTTTAATGCTATTGTTTGTGTTATCTTGGGGCTAAATGTTATCAGGCTCTGTCACTTACTAGATTTCTAGGGATAAATTTCTAATGGATGTCTTTTCTATTTCAAAATCAAAATAAATAATGGAAAGAGCTCAAAATATTTGGAGTTTGAGTTAAACAGATAAACATGCAGACATTAAGGTATTTGTTGAAATACTCTCTGAAAGAGATCAATATGAAATCTTGAGATTTCAAGTAGGTTTTATCATAATCTAGCCAAATCTTTGATGACAAAATTGGAAAATTGTTACAATAACCCTTCTTCGAGTATTTTAGTCTTCTGGTTTCTAGCATGAATAATTTCTATAAGTTCAGTAAAAGTAAAGATGGGTAGAAATTTAGTCAATAGTGGTGAAAAATCTCTCTTATTTAGAAGAAACAAATCTAAATAAATTGATTAACTTGCCTTAAAAATATGCAATAAACTTAATATATATTAGCCAAAGACTTGGACCTTGATTTTAGTCCATTCTAAGATAAAGGTAGCTTTATTCATCCAAGTGAAAATTGTATCTGAATATTAATCTATTAGTGTAAGTTAGGAAGTGGGTTTTTTTTTTAAATTATGTAATAAATATACTACTTGAACAGTACTTCTTTCCTTACAGATTTTCTGGCCAGCATCAGCAAACAAGGTTGAAGAGTGCAAAATGGCTGGCAAGGATCCTACGGTAAGTTATATCCACACATACACACAAATTAGGTACTTGGCAATAAAGTAAGAGCACCTTGAGTGCAGCCAAAGAAAAATGAAAGAAGTGTTTGTTTTACTTTTTAAATGCTTTGCAAGCCAATCTGTAAAGTGAAATTCTGGAAAATCAGGCAATGTAAACAGAATGCACCTTCAAACTTCGACAGATGGGATGAGATATGCWGTGTCCATGTCTTCCTCTGCTTTGGTTGGTAGTAATTAAATTAGGTAATAGTACTAATTACCAGATATGTCCTGGGGTGATGCTGAGCTGCTCTTCGGAGAGGGGAAGTTCTGTGGCTTTCTGCTCCCCCCGGAACACTCTGTGAGGGAGAGTGGTACCCCCAGTCTGCACTCTGAAGATCCGATCCCAGTTGTGCACCAGATTTCAAATGCTGTTGTGTGGTGCTGGCTCCTACTGAACCAAAAATGTGAATGCCTTTAAAAGTAAATAAACCACTGCAGTCTGCTAAACAAGGATTAACTCTTCTGACTTTCATGAAGATGGCTGATGGCACAGTTTTCACTCCTGTGTTCATAAAAACCATGCAATTCTCACTGTCTTGGGTGAGGTGTGAAACCAGTTCTGGGGTCTGGGTATTCAGGAAAAAATGTCTTCTCAACCTAAAGTGCATTAACACTTGATCATAGTAAAAAATCAGTGAAAAAGAATGAGAGGAAAAAGGGATATGCTAGAAGGAAAAAACTGTTAATCGGATTGTGTGAACTGTGAGGCTCTTAATGTTCTGTTTTCATTTTCATGCTGATTTGAAGATGTTGCTGTAAGTATCCAATAAAAAGCAAMAAATGKCTGCAATCCTCAGTTTTGGAAAGTTGTTTATGTAGATAACAAAATTTGATATTTGGACTTGCTTCTCATTTTAATTTTCTCCATTTATGATGAGCAGATTAGGAGGGAACAGAGACTGTTTCAGAGATGTCCTTAAGAAACTTCCTAGGGTTACTTCTTGCTTTCTGTAGAGGTCCTGCTTCTTCTCATGCAAAGTACAGAGAAATCTGTGAATGAAAATTGAGTTGCTGTGTGATAGTGGGAAATCYGCATGCATTCCTTGGTAACTTCTCTGAGATGCTGCATCAGAGAGAACACAGTTYGCAGAGCATGCAAAATGACACGAGAAGATACAGCCATCCAAATCCAGAGGCTGACAAACTCAGTGGCTGTTTTCATGATGCTGTTAGTTACATGTGTCTGTTCCCTGGAGTTCCCAACATCTGGTGATGTTTTCTGCTGTGGAATGAGTGTTCTCTGTGTTTCCTGCAGCACGGCTGTGGAAATTTTGTGCGCGTGATCCAATCGTACAACCGCACCCACCTCTACGTGTGCGGCAGCGGCGCCTTCAGCCCCGTCTGTGTCTACGTCAACAGGGGACGCAGGTCTGAGGTAACTCCTTTCAGTTTATTCATTCATTCTGTGGTGCATCCTAGTGGTGGGATCCTAAAGCTCAAAAGTTTAAAGATGCAAAAATCAGCTGTCCCAATGGGTTCCTTCACCTTTGTTAAACAGCAAAAAAACAAAGGTCCTTAGTTTTCTGAGCTGTTACAGCTGGAAGCAAAGCCATGATCAAAAGCCATGGCTCAGATATGATGGCTGTCTGAAATTCCAAAGCTGTACCAAATGCTGGGCTACATTTGACACTCCTTTATTTTTTACATTGTGTGGTGAATTCATTCTTACCATTTGGTGGAAAAACACCCAAGAAATACTTGTAAGGAAATATCCAATTTGAGGAAAARTAAAATACAGAGTCCACTTTTTGTAACTTCCACGTGTTACTGATTCCTGGGAGAAGCCCTTAATTTGGCTAATTATTCAGGTGTTTGAAGGTTTGCTGGACTTCAGCTTAACACCCTCTAGATGCAATCCCAGTACAGGAACTTTATCTACTGCACAAGTTTTGCCCCACTAGAGGGTACCTGGATGAAGTTGTTAAGTTTCTCTTCACTGTAAGATCTTACTTTTTCTAGATAGGTCTTCAATTTTCCTGGATTCAGTTTCACTGTGTGTATTTTCAGAGCAAGTACCAGATGTTTCAGAAGTATATGGCCCAAGTTTCCTGATTTGAAAGTGAAATGTTTGTTTATGTGCAAATGTAATAGGTAATAAATTAAGCAACCAGAAGGACAAAGAAAGGCACTTAACCAGGAGGCAGCACCTCAGCAGTTYTTGGGTCAGATTCATGTCTGCAGGCACAGGGGTGTGCAGTATATTTTCCAGAGCAATGTGGAAGCAGATGTGTTGGGAAGGAAGATCAGAGTGTGCTAYCTGGAGCTTTGCCATGTGAGGGCAGCTTTAAAAGCTGGGCTGGCTTCTTGGGAGGACACTGGGAAATCCATCACTGATTTAATTGGGAGTGGGATGGGAGTTCTGGCCAGGACCCAGGATTGCTGCACAGGTTGCCAGGGCGGTGATCAGTCAATGTTTCTCCAGGTCAGTTTGCATGGGGTGATCTCAGTGACTTTTGGTAGATCTCTACCTGGCTCCAGTTTCCTGAACAGAGCACACAGTCAGAATCACTGCACCTTCAGTCCTAATAAATTATCTAAAAGTAGATMTCATAGGCCTGGATTTAAAAGCACAAACAAGCAGTAAATCCATCCTTCTGGTTAAAAAATTCTGCTGTAACTTATTTTGATATATTTTGAAATGGGTCACCTTTCCTTGGCATTATTCTATTCCTTGAAAAATCATTTTAAACATGAACAGTGATCTCATTTGTCTTTAATTAATGTAAGACTCCTTTATCATCTTAAGTACTGGTATCACAGCCCAGAGAAGTTTGAATCTCATTATTYTAGAGTTTTTGTAAATGAGATTGGGACAGAGGGGAGGGCAGGAAATGACATCTCCAGATGATGCAAGATGTTAAATTTCCTAAATGAAAAGTAAAGATACATGACTTGGAAAAGCAGAACTGGCTTCACTTAGCCTGTCTGTGTAGCTGCATGCCTGTGATCGATTGATTAAATAAACTGCTGTTTCAGACGTCTGGAGTCTCTGAGACACTTGACTGCAGGCACTTCRTGCTCAAAGCCATCACTGTGCAGGCCAACAATAGCATAACAGTTTAAACCCAAGCATTTCCTTCTGAACTCATTGCATAAATCTGTGCATGACTAATTGATAGGGCAGAATGAAGAACTGTGTGGTGCTGATGGGACTGGTGAAAACTCATTTTTTCCTCTGCTTTTATCATTTCACCTTCAATTTGGTACAGTTTTCAATGCACAAAAGGTTGTTTTTGCATGTGCAAAATGAATATTTTACAAAGCACATCTGTTTTTCTCTAGAAGCTACAAAGCCTGACAGAGTCATAYCCAACAGTCGTAAGAACTGGGCCTGTTTTGCTCTTCTGTCTCCAGGATTCCACATATTCTCACAAAAAATGGGGGTTCCATTGATGAGGCAAAATGCTGCCCTTCTCCCTGAAACAGAGGTTGTAAAACTTCCTTGGCACACTTGATACTTTGGTAATTACTCCCCTAGTCACCCAAATGTATTCTAATGTCAAAGTAAATGCAAACAGAAGGAAATGCAATCCCTGTGTGAAATAATTATAGACTAAATTGCAGTTTAATATATATGAAAATCAAGTGTAATCCTGGAGCTAGTTTAATAGAAGAGTAATGGGCATTTTGAATTGGTAAATAGTGGTTTAATATAGTAAATATGGATTAGAATCAAGCTGCATATAATCTAGGAGTAAAAYAACAAAGAAACCACCCAAGATCACATTAGAAACTTCATACTTATGCTTTAACATTGTTTAGAGAGCTTATTACTGAAACAATAGATAAGATCTCTGTGACTAAATTAGGCAAAACAGAAGAGGGGGAAAAGAGAGGGGATAATGATATGAAAATTTCCTGCTGCAGCTGTGATTTGAGCTTGGTGTAATCTCCAATTTGCTGGTGCCAAATAGYTGCTCAGGGGCTCGTGTGGCATCCCCACTCCCCTGTGATTTGCATTAACTGTTAAGGGAATATAAGGAGTTGGTRTCTTTGTCAAATAATTATTGGCATCTGCATCACAGAAGCCTTTCTTTGGAATTTTTGTCAGCTACGTTTTTCTTTTGAAATGCTTTAAACTTGGTTGTTTTTCGTTTTTTTTTTTTCCTTGTAGTTGTGTCTTTTGGCTTTTTATTAAAGATTAGAAGTTCATTGTAGGAGTCTAAGAACAAGTTGTTTAGCAAACAGTGGTGTGTGAGTCAATGTATATTGGATCAATTTATCTGCCATTCTTGACTGCAGTTTTTAAGGAGTGGGCTTGGGTTTGAGTCATTTCTTGCTCAGCACTCTGTGCTGGTATTGCTGGGAGCCAAGAAGTGAAGAGTTGCACCAAAATGGGCAAACTTTCTAAAGACATTCAGATTGTTTGTATTTCAAGCTGTAGTGCAGATTGCTTCTACATTGCTAAATGTATTTCCTGTTCATAAATCACACAAAATATAAAGAAATCCCCATACCAGGATTTCTTAAACCCAAAAAACCCCAAAGATTTCAGGATATGGTAAGAGGTATTGATGAATCATCTATCACTGTGGACTTGGAGCTCTGCAAGAAAGTAAAGAAAGTAAATGTGATTTCAGGTGTTTTTGGCAATCTGATAACTCAGTAAATGATTTATACTGTCATCCAATGACTTGTCATAAGAGATTTTTATTTTAAATGTGTTATTGTTCTTGTAGCTTCATTATAATGTCCTAGACAGGTATAAGTGCAACCATATATTCAGCAAATAAACGATAAATAACTTCAAAAAACACAGAAGCAATCTCCACAGATGTTATTGCAGAGATCAGTCAAACTACCCTTAATTTAGACAGGAGGATTTTTTTTTTTTTTTATTCAGTATCTTGACTGTATAACAAGAGTCTTGAAAATAACTGGGTGTCAGTGTTATCTAACGGGATGATGGAATTCTGAATAGGAAAGTTAAATTACTGATAGTGCAGTAAAAGTGCCCAATAGTGCACTGTTAATAGAGCATTGCTAATGCTGGGAACAGCCAGGCATAAAAATCAGCTTAGATCTAACTGTGTCTGACAGGAGAAGTGACACTCAAATCTACTTTGCAGGAACAAATCTTCAAGATCGACTCCAAGTGTGAATCAGGAAAGGGACGCTGTTCTTTCAACCCTAACGTGAACACGGTGTCTGTCATGATCAGTAAGTAAAGATACTCCAGGCTGCTGAGGTCTAAACCTGTGTGGTTTGAGTAGGGGGTGTTGTTGGAATGCCTGAAGGGAGCTGGCCACAGAATTCAGCCTCCTGAAAAAGGCAGTGCCTTTTGTCTGGCTCATGGGCACACGGGGTGGGTCCAGCCATGTTTCAAGGCTTAAATGAAGCTTAAGGAGGGTGGACAAACTTAATGCAGAAATAAGTTACTGAAAGGGACAGAGAGACACAGAAAACAAAAGGTTCTTCCATTTCCAGCTTACACATTTTTTCCCAGGATTAGTTTCAACTTTACATTACCCTGTCTAGCATTTATATTTGAAYGGTTTCTGACCTTGTTCATCCTAGACAGCAGTTGTGTCTCATTTAATTATTCGTAAAATCTCAGAGTAGCCAGGGAAAGAAAGCCTGAAGACTTCAGATGCTTTGAATTTCATTGTTGTTGYCATTGCTGCTGTAGAGCCCACCAGATACTGTAAGGCTCTTCATTCTTCAACTGGTTTTGTACCTGACCAATTTTGCCATTTTCTTCTATCTGAAAGGCCAGAAAGTGAAACAATAAAGTATTTCTGCTGTGCTTGTTGCACACCTATGAGAAAACTCAAAGGGAGCATACACTTTGTGTAGTCTAAGTCATCTGTAAAAGATACGTTTCCTTTTTTAAAACCAGGAAGAACTGGAAATGTACACTCAGTGTAACCTGACCTTTCACATTTGCAGTATGTTCACACACTTCTAGTGCCAAAACCCTGATTTTTCAACATGTGCCTGCCCCTTCATGTATTTTTGGCTATGAAGGGAACAGCAACTATGCAGATTTTTGAGACTTTCCTAGTGAACAAAACTGCACACAGGTACTACATATTTCACCCAAGGTTTACAAGGGAACAATGTGCAGTGCTTCTGCCATTCACCTTCCTCTGAAATCAATTCCATCAGTTAGATATTGTGCCAGATATTTTCTTTAAAGTCTCATGGATCTTAAGGGAAGTGCCCTAAAGTCTGTCCTAGATGGCCTGTTCAAAATATAAATTGCCTTTTTTTTTGATTGCTCATTGCAAATATATTTAGTACAAAGGACAAGTATATTTATTCASAGACATATGAACTGAACACCTTTAGAGAACAGGTAAATGTTACCTAGACATSTCTCTGAACCTTGGCTGCACTCATACCTTTATCTCAGCAGTGATCTAGGGACAGTGTTTACAGACACTCACTGTGTAAAGAAAATGTTTGTTCAAAGTCGGTGATGGATGAGTCCACTGCTGCTCATTGCCATTCTCTTGAGTCAATTGTCGTTAAAAAATTTAATGTTTCCATCCCTTGTTCCTTCTGGATTTTATGTAGCAACATTAAAGTACTTTGATTCTGAATTATTATTTGTACAGTAAGCTGATTTTTTTCTACAGTAGATCTGTAGCAGCTTTGTTCATTTTAATAGACTTGTCATTGTCTTCCTTGATCTCTCAGTTATGTGACTAAAGAGACTTTCCCTAGTGTTTGACTTGTCTTTCATGACGCAGTTCACCTACAAAGTTTAAATTATTCCACAAGGGCTGAATTCCTTTTAAAAAGAGCTGCACAGAATGGGTTTTATTCTTTCTCTCTTCTGCTGCAAAGTCCAGTCACTTCAAAAACGTTAAGCTCTAATGAATTTAGCCTCAGTATCCATGCCAAAAACTTGAACATTTTCTAAGTCACAGCTTGTGTTGTAATGAGGGGATGAGCCAATGTACTGGACTCTCCTTTGAGCTTTCTGCAGGAGGAATTCCCTCCCATTGCTTCAGAAGATAGGAAATACTGCCAGACCAACTAACTCTTCCACAATAAAAGAACCATTTCTAAATATAGATGCAATTTCTTGACCATTTTGGGCATCACTGTCCTAGAATACAGCAGGAAAGTTGATTCACCCTTCAGAGGAAAGTGGTGCTATAAAAATAAATTTGAACTTTGTACAATTTGCCATTGTATAGAAACACATTTGCATCAAAGCGATGAAAAATGTGCTTGAAGCATAACTAGTGTGCAGGATGCATGCCTCTCTCCCCACCAAGACTCTGAGATATTTATAAAATCAGACATACCTCATCAATTCAGTAATTCCCCCCAGTAACAAAGTGAAGTAGTGTGAAGTCATTGTCCTGTGCAGACCAAATACTGTGCGGAATTTAAGGATTTTWCCAGAAGGAAGTGGAACTGACAGATATCATCTGATGCTTGATTAGCAAACAGACACTAGGAATGCTTCAGACATAATAGCACAGATATGTAATAGGATTAAAATAACATGGTATAGTAYTGTTGCTGGAGTGGGTACATATGTGTGTATGCACAGTGAGAACCATAAACCTGATCTCTTTCAGCCAATTTTTTTGTAAAATAAGAATAAAGTTCTGATGGATTGAGGCAAGGAGGCAARTATACAAAATCACTTAAAAATTTGCTCAGCTCATTCTGTCAATACCTGCTCAGGAAGTAAATGCTTGAGCACCATGCAGCAAATGCATTGTTTACATCCCCTGTGTGTGAATCTTGTCATCACTGGGAGAGGTGAGAGCAGGAGAGTGGCTGCTGGATGCCCTGCCAGGGTTCAGTTCAGGCTCCAGTTAGCAGCAGAAAAGCAAAATCTCCAGAGTTTTAATTTTCATGGGCTTCTCAATAGTCTTTCATGCTGATTATGAGCACACACACACACACACACACACACACACATACACACACACACACAGCATGAAAATAGCCTCAAGTATTTCTGAGCCTGTGACTCTTGCCAGCTTGACCACACTCTATGGGTAGTCCAGGAATACAGACAAAAACATCAATCCAAGGACCCAGCTGTACTGGAATGCATTCAGCCACCACTCCCACATTGAGAGTTAGAGTTTATTTTAGCTACTGTTTTCTGCTCTGGGGTTTCATTGTCATTAGTCAGTGGAAATTGCTTGGTTATTCACAGAGTAGAAAATGATAGTATATCCAATTATAATTGTAATTATATACACATATGTTTATGCACACATACAGACTCACAACACAAACACAGATGGACATCCTGAGTGATGGACTGAGTTTCCAGCCCTGCACAGGAAGCTCGTAGTTCTGTTAATGCCCAAGTTGTGTGTCTCGTTCTTCTCGAGCATAATGGCCCTATACTTAGAACCAAGTGCACAAAAGGGGACAACTGTTGCTCCATATTACTTAAAGTTCAATAATATGATTGTCTGGCCTCTGTAATGCTGAAGTCAGCGTGAGGCTGCCTGGGGCAGCTGTGACAATGCYGCTGGTAAAAAYTGGCACTGATCCACTGACTGCAGTWGATGTGCCAGTTTACAGCAGCAATAAATTCAACGCAGTCACTTCATCTACTTCTGTAATAAAGAAAAGGTTATTTGAATTGTGTACTTAAGATATTAAATGTGGTACTTTTTGATAGCATTAGCTTTATTCTCCAGTGGTCCTTAGCAGCAGAAACTGAGCAACTAAACTTCCTGTCAAGAAAAGTCCCCCACATATGCAGCTCTGCTGTGCCATTTAAAGGTATAGTTCCCTAAAGCCTCTGAGAAAAATCTGATGAGTCTCTTGCATTCTAGGTTGAGTCTTTTTAAACCAGAGGAAACCTCATTCCCATGACCCCCTATTTATCTGTATAGACTCCTGTGTAAATAAAGAGCTAACRAATTTAAAATAAACTTTTGTTTTCCCAAAAGCCATAACAATTCTCCCTCCATTTCAATTCTTTTCAGATGAAGAGCTTTTTTCAGGAATGTATATTGATTTCATGGGGACAGATGCTGCCATTTTTCGGAGTCTGACCAGGAGGAATGCAGTGAGGACTGACCAGCACAATTCCAAGTGGCTGAGTGGTGAGATGCCTTTAATTTACCACAGCTTTTAATGGGTGTCAGAGAGATTCTGCTTTCCTTTCCTTAAAACAAAGAGCTTGTCTTCTAAAGAGCTTTTCTGTGAGTTTAAGTTATGAAGTTGAATGAATGAWGTTTAATTTATGAAGAAATGTGTGTAAATACAAACTGTAGACAATGCACAGATGTAGAGGGTTCTCTGYATGAACCAACCTCAGGCCACCCCACCTGAGGGCCTTCTTTGCATTAAAAAGCAAACTGTTTGAGGGCAAGTATATKAAAACCTTTCCAGTGGCAAGAGGTCAGAGACTGAGTTGTAGGAAAGTGACTTCACCTCTAATGAATCAGATATTGCCTTAAATTAGTGTTTGATTCTAAGCKACCATCTTCAGTTAATTCAGGATGATCCATCTGTGTGCAGAAGACTCACCACCACTTGCATTCAAAATGTGTGCAGAAGAGAGTCCCTGTATCAGAGAAATCAGTGAGGATTCTTGCCACTTATTTCTGTGGTAATGAGTTGGTTATCTGAACATAGTAGAGAAACTCATTTCTGAGTGGAAGCACTGAACTCTTTGCTTCACTGACATCACTGTGAACATTGTCCCCATCTTTGCTGGTAAGAAGACTCTTTCCAGTTAAAGTAATTTGAATTAAAGTGATGGTCAACCCTCTGAGCAGAGGTAGATGTAAAAGGCTATAATAGAGCAGCTAACACTCACGATTTTAAATAGTCTTCAAGTATGTTGAAGTAAAGTTACCGTAGTTTTTTCTTGATATTTTTTATGGTGACTTCTTATTCCTGTCTGACTGTGACTACAATGAAATCCCTGGATTGCAGTCACAATGAATTAATTTTGCTATGAAAGRGAAACTATGTCTGCTTTCTAAACTTTCCTTCTGTTTGTTTTTCATTCTTACACTTATCTGTACACCCTGATGCGTGCATACTAAAGTGAATTAGAAAAAAACAAAATTGAAAAAATGCCTAATTTCTGGAAAATCTACCTGTTACCCATACTCAGAACAGGTACTTGAAAGTACAGTTTATTTCCATGTTCTTTTAGAGCCAGAGTAATGACTTTTGTTAATTCAGAATGTACTTACATAAGTAGAAAAATGCTGCAGTCTGGAAAGAATTTTCTGTGAGACTTTCAGATGCAGTATAAATTCCAAAATTTATACTGCATTTCAACTGAAAAGACAAAGCCTTCATGCAGGGAGAGGGTCCACTTCTTCTTCAATCAGAGGAGATCTTCTGAGGGTTTCTGCACTGTCCATTATATGCTTGCTCCCTCCCTAGTTCTCCTTTGCAGTGTTTTACAAGTACWCTCTGTTATGTTTCCCAGCCTCTGATATGAAGTCAAATGCTGCTCAAGCATTTGCTTACCCTGCTTTCCTTTTCTGGGTTACACAAATTGTGTTCTCTTATTTATGAACATTATTTGTTATATTTCTAAGCTTTTCCAGATTACTTACATGTTTTATCTCAATGGGACTTTGCTTAGGTGCCCCTGCTAACACACTGATTCTTGCTTCTTCTTCCTCCAAGTCTTTGAGTCTCTGCAGGAATCTGATACCACTGCTTCTGGGTCCCTCCTGCAAAAATTTGCTGTGCAATAAAATGCAAGGAGTGAAAAAACACATGGCTGCCAGCAAGGAGCCATTTACCTGCAGATGTTTGGTATATTCAGCACTTCCTTGAAGCACTCACTAAATGTCAAATCATTCTTTTCTTATATTGATACATGTTTGGTTTCATCCTTTTGGTAAACGTTTTCATTTCAGAGCCTATTTTTGTGGATGCTCATGTTATCCCAGATGGCACTGACCCCAATGATGCCAAAATCTACTTCTTCTTCAAAGAAAGACTCACAGACAACAGCGGCAGCACAAAGCAAATTCATTCAATGATTGCAAGAATATGCCCRGTAAGAACTATTTTGTTTGCCAGGTTGTTGGGATAAGCTGCTAGTGTGATATGATAACCTGAAAGACTGAATGTTTGGAAAGCCTTTGATTTATATTTGACACAAAATTGCCTGTTTCTGTATCACTATTCATAATTAAGAGCTGTTGCTGAGCTGACAGCCAGGGTCTGAACATGTTGTATATATCTGTACCTGTAGGGGTATGGAAATGTAGAGGTTCAGGGATTTGTGTATTTCTCTGACTGAGTCAGAATAGYTACCAGTGTTGCATTTTCAAACTTGCTGTCCTTGGCACAAATAAGATACATAATTTTCTTAATAAAAATGAACTATAAGACAGGGAAGTCTTTCACACACTCAAAATATCTGAAGAACGTTAGAAATATCAAGTTTCTAAGTAGGTTGATTTAACTTTCAAATGCTGTTTTAATTTTTACAATATCATCTATTCTTTCTGAGTTCTTGTATTGATGCTTGTGTAACCCTAACTTAAAAAATGTGCGCAGGAAATYTAAATTCAGGAGTTATGTCTATTCCTGGGCAATAAGTAATTTTTTAACAGCACTCCTCATTGTCTCTATTATAGGTTTTTTTGTATCTCTAGTCAACTGTAGATGAGATATGATTGAAGCAGCTATTCATATCTCTAGTGAAATCAATTTTTTTTTTTTTTTTAATGAGAGAAAAATTATAAATGCACTATTACTGCTAGCCTATTAATTCTTTCTTTTGGAAAGCTTCAGGAAGTTCATTGGGAGTTTATGTTTTCCCTGTCTTTAATTTGGGTCTTCTTTAGGATTTGATGTTGTTGTGCCTGGGTGTGAGGGCATGTTTGTCCTTCTCTGGCAGTATGATGGGACATATGATCTTTTTTATAATCTCTGTTCTCTGTATTTCTGTGAGGGTGCCTAAAGSCCTTTTTGGGCATTTTGCAAGAAGATATTTTACACAATTATAGCTGTATTTGGCTTTTTCACTATTATAATGAAGCCCAGATGATTTTTGAAAGGCCTAAGCCTGTTTAGACTTAGACTGAAGTCAGTGGCAGAATCCCAAGGCCAACGAAAATAAATCTGAGCCAGTCATATTTGTATACTTGTGTACATACCATAATATTCATGCATCAAAATCTTTGAGACTGGCCAAATATTTTACCCCSTGAAAAGACTCCTTATAAGTCACCCAAAAAGTTGGATTAACCAACTCCAACAGCACTTTATTGAAATCAAATTTCAGTAGCTTTTACATTTTGGTTTTTTCCCTTTCCTTGGGTGACATCATGCTGTGCAGTTTGGAAAAAACTGCTCTCACCTAAGGCATTCAGCAGCACAGTCAGTCAGGATCTTGGTTCTTGGTTTTCTTCCTGCATGTGGAGTGTTTAGATGAGGGAATTTRGTTTAGACCTATCTATTTTTAATGTAAAGTTTACCAGATGATTATCTAGATCATGAATTAACCTGTGAAAAAATGTGGGAAAACCTAGTAAAATGTTAGCTGTGCTTTATTTTCTGAAAATAATATTCCTCTCCAGAATGACACAGGTGGTCAGCGCAGTCTCGTGAACAAGTGGACAACTTTCTTGAAAGCAAGACTTGTGTGCTCAGTAATGGATGAAGATGGAACAGAAACGTACTTCGATGAATTAGGTATCAAGAAAACATTCCTTAAAATTCTAAATGGTACACCTTGTGCACATTGAATTACTGATTTTCTTACAGGTTTTTAGGCAAGTTGTTAACAGTGAAATATTAGCGCTAGAAATCCATGACAAAGTTCCCCTTRCAGTTTTATGACAGGAAATGAAAAAAATCTTCATAAGTCACTCTGGGCAATTATCGTAACCTTTGAAATAAAGGTAATTAATCTTTACTATTATGAATCTCTATTATGAATTTACTATTATGAATTTACTATAATGAATCTCTTACTATTTTGCTACTGGCTTGGATAACAATAGAGGATTTTAAACACCTCTTTGAAGCTGTTTCTTGTATCACTGTGTAACACACAGCTTTTCCACAACGCATTTTTGCTATTTTTTGATCACGGATGAGTCCTCARTTTGGTAGTTCAAGATAATACCAATAAATCCTGTAAATGGCACCAGCAATAGTACTATGAATAAATAAAAGTTTTCAGGAATCATCCAGCCACATAAAATTTTGTTTCAACTTGTAAAACACTATAAATATTCAATGCATRATCTATGCAGCAATCAAAAGAGGTTTACTTCATTAAGGAATTAATAGATGCCTATCTTGATACCTACGTGCCAAAGAACATTAACAGAAAGTTTCAAATTCTGTATTTTCCATAGCYGAGATGTGTAAAATCATAATTCTAAATTCAGGCATTGGAAGATTTATAGTGTGCTTTACTATAAGTATAAATTATATAGGCAGCTAATGTGCCCTGGGCTGGGTCTGTGTCTGGTTCTGATCTTCTCTCCATTGTATCCTCTCTCAGTTGTTATTCCTGATTCTCATCATAGCAAATGGGGTTTGCAGTCCTTTTGAGTTTATGTATTTGCAGCTGTTTGGTGCACTTGCTCTGGTTCAAGGTTTCAGTGGAACCTGAKGRGCCTCAGAGCAGATCCGAACTTGCWRTAGCTYACCATGTGCAAGGTGCTTGGGGGATGGATTTTCTGAAGTTCACGGTGCCTCAGCACTGCCACAGCAGCTCATCTTTCAGAGCTGTGATTTACCAACCCCCTCCTCTTCAACAAAGCACTAGGATAACTGCTTTTAGATTCTTGTATGACAAAATGTAGGACCATAGTGAATAGGAGACAATGCTCTCAGCATGGGCCTCCAGCACAATTCACTAGAAAAGAGGAAGAATACAGTCACAGCTGGAAATGCAGAAAACTGGGAGAGCAAACACATGCTTCTGTGTTCATGTTTAATGCAGGAGGGTATAATACTTCCAGTTCTGCATGGTGAAGCCTTTTGCTTTTGACATATTGAAAAGAATATTTAAAAAATTCAGCGGGTTAAGTGAAAGACCCACATAAATTAATGGAAAGCTAAAGAACATATTCTATGATTAAAAGCTCAAACAGTTCAGTCTTTTTTTGTGTTGTAATTAAGAGGTAGCATGATTATAGTTATTAAAAACATTTTTAAGGAGAAACTGTCAGAGATTAAAGCAGTTTTCACTGAAGTGAAAAAAAAATCAACAGATCCGAGGTTATAGTGGGCACATTCATATCAGTGAGTAGGGACAGTTTTGCACAGTGCAGTCAATAAGTCCTACACAACAGCAGGAGGGAGGTTTACAGCTCTCAGAAGCTTTGCTGTAAAGCTGCCTGACATTCATATCATGTAGAAAATTTGCTGGTGAGGGTGTTCCAGTGCGTTATGAACAATAAAACACCTAATTTCCCTGTTTTCGATTGCATCCATCTATGGAACTCTTTGTTTTTACCCTACTGCAACTTTAATGTTTTCCTACTGCTAAACAACCTGCTGAAACAAGATACAGCTGAGAGAAATGTGTGACATGCATCCTGAATGGATTTGAAAATCTTTGCCTTCTGTCTCCATAAGGCYAGAGGGCATGGAGTTAATTTCCAAATTTGTTTCTGAATTCAAATGCTAGATTTATGCATGTATGGTCTGTTCACATGGTAAGTTTCCTTTTTCCCATTCAAGTCTGAGATAAAAGTACTTGAGGGGGAATAAAGTAATAAATTAAACTGGAAAATAAAATTTTTACTTTTATTTTAAAAAAACTGTTTCTCTTTCTTACAGAGGACGTTTTTCTTCTAGAGACAGATAACCCCAGAACAACACTCGTGTATGGAATTTTTACAACGTCAAGGTAAACACAGAGATTTGAAAAAAATACCTAACTGCCTGACTTTCTGTATGAAAACTGAAAATTATGTTTTGTGTGTGAGGCAGTGCAATTTTGTGTGTCTGTGGCCATGGTTTGCATGCAGGAGTCTCAGTACCACTGCTGTTGGTATCCACGTTAGAGCTGTGCTCCTTGGAGCAAACTGCTTCCTGACACTGTGTCAGCTGGCACTGGGGGGACATTTCCATGGAGAGCCACTTGTCACTTCTCAGCTGAGGAAAGCTGAATGGCTTCAGCTCAGTGAGCTCATGTGGCATTTGGGAGCACCTAACAGCCCCTGAAGAGCATCCAGTGCCCTGAAGGATCAAACCAGGAATTTGTACACAAATTCATACAAATCATTTCCAGTCCCTCAGCTGGCTGATGATCCCAGAGATGGCAAAAAACCTATATTGGCTTCAATTGGCAACAAAAGGACAAGCTCTTGTGGCATTTGATCACCTCCTTGCAGGTCCCTGTTACCAGTCAGTTGTATTCACTTACTGTCCGGTTTAGAAGCATTTGGAAAGCATTTGCTGAGCTCCCAAGGGTGGTGGAAGTACCAGATAKGGGTTACTGTGCTGAAACTCTCCCTAAAAATAGGTTGTCAGGTGTCTTTCGCCTCTATTTTTTTATCTTGTCTCTTGCCCTCAGCACATAGTGCTAGTACAAAGTAAAAATAGGTACTGCTCACTTGTTTCTGGAATACTACTCTTTATTACTTAGCTATTAGTTCTTACCTTTAAAGAAGTCTTCTGCTTTTTTTTCGTTTTCACTTAATTTATTTTATCAAATTGGGAAATTATGTAACTTATTATTAATAATTCCTTCAATGGAAATTTATAGTAAAAAACCCGTTCAGAATTTTATTCTCCAGCAGAATTTTCATAGGGATCCAGGGATCTGCTTACTCAAATATGTAAATGAGACAGGAGACTGTGACTCTATGATATTTAATTGGAAAATAAAGCATCCCATAACTTTTAAACTTATGGTGCTGTCTGCAGTTCCTACTTCACAAAAAAGAGAGAAGGACAGGCTCATGTTCAGCAGTAAAATCATATTTGTCATTAGGTTGGGGGTGCAGCGTGATTGAACTGGAAACACTTCTACATAATTCTTCTAATTCTCCTGGTATTTTGGCAATGGAAATGAGGTTTGAATCACAGGACTGTGCAAGGTGACAAAAAAGAGAAAACTTCACTTTTTCTKGGCTCTCAAGCTATTTTCTCTCTCTATTGAAGTTTTTACAAACATGCATTTGTGCTATTGTGAAACACATGGTCTATGCTTGCTTTATTTTCGTTCAACCATAGGTTGAATGTGTTGCCTAGTTAAATACAGAAACCCAAAGGATTTTTACTCCTTAATTGTTCCTGTAWCTTCACCTCTGTAGACTTCCAAACTCATAACAGTAGCAAGAGAAAAACATCACAGGAAGTAATAACTACTAGTATTTTTATCTAAATCATACAGAAGGAAACTGAGTAATACTGAACTAAATTATTTTAGTGGCATAATACACTGTAAATCTAAAATGAAACATCTGGAAACAGTAAATGCATTTCTCAAAATCTATWAATACCTAGTAAAATTTGCACAAATACTATAATCCATCTAAAAGGTTCATTCTGCTAATCCTTATATAGCTGAGAGCAATGTGGATTTCACTATTGTTGTTTAGACACCAYGTGTAATGTTTTCAGGCTTTTTTCTGGACTGTTTTTTTTTCTTCTCCAGTTGAAATCAGTTATTTGGATTATCTTCATTCTATAGTTAATGCCAGGCAGATTTTATACTGTCTGGACCTTCCACTTTTTAGATAAATATAACAAACCTTGCATGCAGTGAGAAGAAAAATGAGGGAGTTAATTCACTGCAGTCAGCCTTAGCATCAGTCTGGAAACATTTTCCCTATTACCTTTCATCATCACGGGGTGATGGAGACCATTCAGGGCTGGTGCTAACTGAACCCATGTCTGAACATAGAGCAGTGGGAACAACATGTCTTTTTCTTAGGTGACTCCCTGAGTTCTCATCAGGAAGCATCAAACTTCATARGCCCAGTTTTATGGGTGGATTTGGGGTCTGTATAGGAGTAATTYCTTTACAGCCTCACCATGTCCCCATTTTTTGTAAAAAAAAACCTGGTAACTGATTGTAATAATCCAACCAATTGTGGTGGCTCTGGATGTTTTGAATAATATTTTAGCCATGTGTTTCAGGAGGCTCATGGAGGCCTTGTGGTTTACATACTGGTGGGGAGTGCTGGAARCCTGTGCTGAGCTTGGCACTACAAAGTTTAGAAAACTCTTGTCTCACTGAAGTCAGCAATATTTTTGCCATTGATTTAACTGCAGCCAGATTATATTTCCTTTATATTTAGCATTAGGAAATGTTCTTATTGCACCAGTAGGGTAGTGCCTTCCTCCCTCTTTTTTCAGTTCACTGYTCAGAAAGGTGCTAAGTCTTAAGAAGTTGCAGTGCCTGTTGGGCAGCTAGATTATTTGGTTTTAAATGTTTTAACTCTATGCTATAAAATCATTAAATTTTATAAAATATATCATTTTAGAGCTATCTTTCACCATTGGACCATACAAAATTATGGAAAAGCTGTAAAAATGTCAGTAGATTGCAATGTTAACCTTTYCCTACTGTCTTCCAGTTCCATATTTAAAGGCTCAGCTGTGTGTGTGTATCATCTGTCTGACATCCAGACTGTGTTCAATGGACCATTTGCACACAAGGAGGGCCCAAACCACCAGCTGATTCCATATCAGGGCAGAATTCCCTACCCACGACCTGGCACTGTAAGTACAGAGATGTTTATTCAGGCTTGCCAATTGCTTGTCTTTGTTTAATGCATAAATAAATATTAYTTATTCCAGGAGAAAAGTCTGTATGTGACTGTGATAGTTACAGTTCAGAACTATTTTATTTGCTTTTAAATTGCCTACAAATCACGTAGTGTCTGGAAATCTTCTAGAAAGAATTAAAAGTAATGTAAAATGTTAATCACTCTTTTTCTGCTGCAAAGGTGAAAAGRATTAGTTCATTAGGTGACAGTCTTGTTTGCATGTGCATTTCCATTTTGWGGGTATATTTGAGCAAAATGTAGCTAAACAAATAAGCATGGAAAGGCAGCACTGTGAATGTGCTCTAGAGCCTGGATCCATGTCTGTAAGTCTGTCTTCTSTCTGTGTGATTTTTCTTTAGTTCTCCAGAGTCTTGCAGCTCTTCTCGGATGCTTAGGAGATGTAGAGAAGAAGGTTTCTGGGACTTGTCACTTGACTAAGTCTAACCCTGCCAGGTTCTGATTCTTAGAAGAGGCACCTAGAAATAGATGAGTTTTCATGACATTCAGTTCACTGTAGCCTTMCTCTTTAAGAATGCTTTTTTTATGCCTTATTTTTTTTTCAGGACTTTCTTTCACTGTATCAAGGATAGTAATAATCTTCCAATAAATTCTATACACAATTAGAGCTAGTTCTGGTTCCAAAATGCACAAAAATATCTCATTAAATATTTTAAATGGAGCTATTCTTTCTTTGTACTTTTCAACTTCATGATGTATAAAAATTGCTGTTAGTGCACTTTTTTCTTCKTTTATTTACTTACTTATTTTCACTATTCTGATTTAGATTTAGCAGAAATGGAACATCTAATATTTCAAGGTTTAATGAAGAATACATGAACTTTCTCGAGAATTGTCTCTAAATCCATATTTGCTAAATGAAGTAGGTGTGTTGACTCTTATGAAGTCATACAATTTCTTAAGTATCAGAATTAAATAAGTATGTAGAGAATCATAAATTATGTCTTGATGATGTAGTTTTATGTTTTTTTAGATTAACACTTCATAGCTTTTCCATTTATCACAGGAAATTRAATTTTATTTTAATTTTGCCAGTTCCTGTGAGAACATTTAACCTTATGATTATTTCATTCTGATTTGTCTTTGCATTGCAAAATCTTGTTCTTTTTCTTCCTTGTACATGGAATAGCTCAGATACATGGAATAGCTCGCCCCGTTCACACAATTCTTCATGACATTTTAGTGCAGTTAAGAGCTGTAAGAGTTAGGGTTTTACATTCCCAGATCTCTAGAATTAGCTAATCAATACCYGACATTCCACTAAGGTCTAATGCTAACATTAGTCTTTCTTTGCAATTTATTCATACATCTCTAATCTCGTGAGTTCACTGAAGCTTAAAAAAAAAAGACTCATTTAAACAGGAAGTTTCACACTCTTCTGATTAGTCACATTTCAAAGTTTCTTGCTGTTTCCGAGTATTTTGTTTGTATGTTTCCTCAACTGTTGCCATGTTTTTCTTGGTTCACCTCATGGAGGCTTCTGAGGTATTCCAGATTGGCCTAAAGAAATTGGGCAGCACAATGGAAAGGGGAAAACAGAGTCATATGTGGATTTAACATGGTTACAGAAATTATCTACACTTTTCARATGTGCCAAGCTCTGAATTTGAAGATAAATTCTTGGATCATAGCTCATAGAGATTCCTTCAGATGACCATTGCTGGTTTTCGGATCACTGGCTTTTCCGTGCTTCCTCATGATTCAGCCACAGCACAGCATCTTAAAATCATATTTTCTAAGATGGAATTTCTTTGSCTTTGCTTTTATTTCACTGCCAGAAAATTTCACTTTTAAATGTGTGCCAYAAACTCTTTTTTTCACTTCTATCAAATCATCTGCAAAAACTGGGGACATGGGGATTTTTTGCTGCTCAGAATTTGTGCTCATAGAGTTAACTTTGATCAGCCATGCTTGCAGACTATGGGGCATGATCCTCTTTTCTCTGGAATGTATTTTTTTTTTTTTTTGCAACTTCTGGGATACTGCACTGGACAGGGATGCCTTTTTGTATGACATGGAAAATCCTACTTTGCAGTTGCCTAAAGAGATTCATACTAAACCTCTGGACAGAAATGAAAGTTCATCATGTCTCRGTACACTGGATAAACAATGGAAAGGCTCAGTGTAGTTTCAGTAGGATTAAATAAAGCAATACATTCTTTTGGCCACGAGCAACTCCGCAGTGTTTGGCTGGCCTTCACTAAATACCAATGGTTTCTTATTTCTCCGCAAGCGAAAYTTGCTTATGGAAAAGAAAATACATAATTGGCAGCGTGCTACTAAATTCAGTGATGTTTGAGGGTAGTTTCCGTTTTTCAGAGTTTACAGAAATAGTTTTGGTACCTACAGCATGTTGGGGAATATGCTGTAAATTAAAGAATTCTGGTTTTCTCTGAAATCTTATTGCATGATAATCGAGTGTGAACATAAGATTGTGTAGCCAAGTCCTTGAATGAGGTGTGAAGGATACAGCTTCAATCCCTACAGGAAAGGGAGAGCTTATAGGTTTCTTCAGCGTCATCTTTTGCTTGTCACTGGTTTAACAGAAGAATTAATTGGTTGAAGATGTTTGTTAAAGCTTTGCTTGGAAGAAAGATACAGTGTAAGTTTTTAGGGTCATGCTAGTGTGAATCATAGTGTAGACATTTTTGCAGGAAGTCACAGACAACAATCTCATGACTCCAAGTCAAGAATGGAAGGGTTGAAAGCATCAGAGAAAGACTTTTAATTGAACTGTGTGAGACAGAAAAGTTTAATTTGAACTGCTTGTGAAACAGAATCCCTGTTGAAAGAAACTGGGGTCTGGCAGAGCACTACCAAGTAGAGTAGTCTTGCTAATGATAAATGCAGTTCTTTTTTCAGCATTTGTTGCTAATCTTAACAGATAGTTCCATGCATTCTCTGGAATGTGGATGAATATACCAGAGAGGGTAGAGCAAGCAAGATAAAAAGAACTCAATTTTGTGAGCAATCTTAGAGCRTTAACATGTAGTGTCATTTCTAATGAGAGCCAAAACAAAACCCTTAGGRTAAAAAAGAGCCCAGAAAAATAAATTGTCAAGATGTCAGATGAGAAAAGCAGCCCACATCTGAGCTGAGTTCTGGTTCTTCTTCCTGGAGGTGACTGGTGCCAGAGCAGTTTCTTTTAAGGAGTTCCTACAGAGCTATTCTACTTTATGTGAATAATTAACTCTTAATTGAGCCAGAAGATGACTCTAAAGCCTGTGTTTAGGCTGAAGTCCCCTCTCTACTTGTTTCTTGGTATGCCCAATGAATTATTAGGTGCAAGATATGGAACAGCTTTTAGCAGTGAGGGTAGAACAGGCTCTCCTGGCTGTGGCTRCAGGGATGCCCTGGGAGGTGAAGACCCAAATTCTAACATTGCACCTCATCAGGTAGGCTGGACACATGAGTCATATATCCCCAGACAGTTTCCAAGTCTCTCAGAATATGATTCATTTTATGCAATTTAAGCCTTCTAAAAGCAGGGTGTTTAGTCTGAATTACTGACTACAGAGGAAACCTAAGAATAAATTCCTGACTTTTAAGAGAGCAGAAGTCAGGTGAGGTAAATCTCTCCCTAAGCTACTGACTACTTTGTGTCTGTGGTTTTGACCAGAAATTCCATCCTAGATGTAAGAATGACCCTSATCAAAATAAACAAATTTCCATCCAAGTGCTTTTTATTGAACAAATAACTTTCTAATTGGAAAAATATTGTGTCAAAACGCTTCTGAGTATCTCAGATATTCTGAGGAGAGTTTCATAGCTCRGAAATACAGTAAGGGGAAGAAATGAAAGCTCAGGAGCAGCAATAAGAAGTGAGGTAGCAGTAGCTGAATAACCAAACCATGTAAATTAACASAGATGCATCCAGAATATTGTACCAATTACTGACAWAGCTCTGATTTCTTTAYTGTTTCCTTTTAGTTTCAATCTCASTAAACAGTSGAGTTTTTCAAGATTTTCTCATGAGGTCCAGAATACCTCAGGGATGATCATTTGGGTGGTTCTTCATTGTATTTAAAGAAGCATCCACAGAATTCATGGACCTCAGTTAATCCTCAGGCATAGGGGAAAGTATAGACAATCTTTTCRGATATAAGTAAGTTGTTATGGGACTCCCTCATCGACTCTGTATTATTRCTTTTTCAAATGACGATGAGTCACAGGCCCTTTCATCATCTTATAATCAGCATAATGACAAGAGGGATATCGGCCAAATTGCAATTAAGTATAAGATTTTGTCTTCTGCCTTTGTACTAATTCTGTAACAAACCACATGCAAAAGTTTGGTATAATCCCATACCAGATTGGATTTTTAAAAATTTTTCTTTCAACGGGTGGTTTGGAAGCGCAAAATATGTAGAAATAGGTTCAGAAATACAGATCTTTTCCATCAATCTGGTGAAACTACATTTCTGTTTTATCAGAGCTGATAGGAGTTCAAAGTGTAGCTATTCAACACTGCATTCCCCTTACTGSAGCATAGGAAGTTTTGGCCCGAGTCTGAGGTGCTCTTTCAGGAATTTCCTTTGTCATCTATCTGTCAATATTTGTAAATGACTTGGAGATGAAAACTCTCTGAAGGGTGGTGAGCGTTGCTCAGCGTTACTGTGCGTGTTCCTTGCAGTGTCCAGGAGGAGCCTTCACACCCAACATGCGAACGACCAAAGAGTTTCCAGATGATGTTGTGACCTTCATCAGGAACCACCCTTTGATGTTTAACCCCATTTATCCCATACACAAGAGGCCGTTAATCATCAGGATTGGAGCTGACTACAAATACACCAAGATTGCTGTGGATCGAGTGAACGCTGCCGATGGAAGATACCACGTCTTGTTTCTTGGAACAGGTAAGACAAATTTGGCAGCATTCATTTTCCTCTGTTGCAGTATAATCTGCAATCAACTCTGATTATTTTACAGCTTTCWGAAGTATTTGTTTAAATGTTTGCAATCTACAGAAATGTTATAGGAATCCATGAATTATGTTCTTTTTACTTTCTGTGCATTTTTCTATTTACTGTGGACATAAATTATGTGCAAGAGATACAATGTGTTGATACTAATTTTGAGACAAAAAGCAACAMCAGTGTATATTTTATTGGATCGAAATTATAATAATTCTCTTGAATACAGTTTGTGTGCAGCATGATTGCACATTAGATTTGATGATCTCTAACATGAAAAAAAGCGCCAAAATATAGCTTTATAATTTTTGTATATTTTTGTCTCACCATTATTCTTAAATAAATGCTGTGTAATCTACTTCTAAAGAAAATCAAGACCTAAACAAGGTGTTGCAAAGGCAGAAACAACTCTTCCAGAATACAGTAGTAATGTGGAAGTACTTAGCAGAGAAAAAGAAAAAAATGGTCACCCTCCTAGCAGTAGTGGGTGCAGAGAATTTGATCCAAAAGTATTCTAAAACAATTTCTGTCTAACATAACCTACATTTTGGTTTTAGTTGCATCAAATTTGAATCTGGTGTTACGCATCTGAAGTCTGCAGGGAACAGGTCAAGTGATTCTTGTACTGATCAATTTTGATTTTTTTAATTCACTCAGATGTGAATCACACCCTTTAGATTGAAGCAGACAGGCAGAGTGGTTCTGTGACTAGACCCTAGGACTCACATCTGAAACTCCCACTGGTTTAACRGGGCATTAGAGGTCGATGGGCACAAAGGCTAATCTTTTTTGCTACAGATGGTTTCAAGCAGAACAWAGGAGAAGAACTCTAGGAGAACAAATATATCTCGGAACATCAGAAAGTGATTACAGAGATGGCTTTCATTGCTTTTATGGTTCGTATATTATTGGGGTCCTGATTGTTTTCAGCTTGTGGAGTAACCGTGTCTGCCAACAAACTCGCATGGGGCTGGGAATAACCATCTTGTTATAATAGGTTTAGGAAGCGGGTGCTAAAAAATCTCTCAAGAATGTCAGGCTTCTACAGGGAAAGGATTAAAAGTAACTCACTTCRCTCTTCTTAGAAAAACCTCTCCTACTATCAAAATCAGCAGAGTGCCTGTGTGCCAAAGGAGGCCAACTGCATACTGTGCTGTGTGTGCAGGAGTGTATCCAGAAAACAGGTGATGGAAAGGATTATTCCCCTTTATTTGGCTTGGGAATACTGTGGGGTGCCCATACAAGGAAAACATCGACCTGATGGAGCAAGATCAGTTGAGGGAATGTAGCTCGTGATGTATGAGAAGAGGCTGATAAAATGGGTTTATCCAGAGAAAGCTAAGGGGGGCCTGACCACTGTTGACAGCTATCAAATGGATGGGTACAGCCACCTACTGGGACAAAAGCAGATGGGAACTCTGCTCAAGGTGCYAAGATGAGGGATTGCACACAGGTTGCAATGTGGGACATTGCATTTGGATGTAAAGGAGAAAGTTTCCACCATCAGCATGGTCAAATAGTGGAAAAGGGGCTCAAAGAGATTATGAATTCTCCATCTTCAGAGACTCAAAAGATTCAAACCCCAACTGACACAGCGCTGATCATCCTGCTCTAATTGGACCTGCTTTGAGGGGGAGCCTGTACCAGATATCTTCTAGAGGCCCTTCCAGCCTACAGGTTTCTGCAGTTCAGTGAAAGAAAACAAAACCACTTCATTCATGGGAGGATATGGATGGAGAATATGGGAAGGGCTAAAGCCCAACAAGAGCTACATCTGGCTACTGCTGTAAAAGGCAATAAAAATGTTTCTRTAAATATATTAGCAGCAAAAAGAGAGCTAAGGAGAATTTCCTTCCTTTACTGGATATGGAGGGAAACACAGTGACAAAGGATGAGGAGAGGGCAGAAGTACTTACTGCCTTCTTTGCCTCAGTCTTTAGTAGCAAGACCAGTTCTGCAGATTCCCAGCCCCCTGAGTTGGAAGCCAGGAATAAAGAGCAGAGTGAGGCCTCCACAATCCAAGGAGAAATGGTCARTGACCTGCTACACCTCTTAGACACAMGTGAGTMCTTGGGGCTGGATGGGATCCACCCAGGGGTGCTGAGGGAGMTGYCAGAGTGCTCACCAARCCACTTCCCATCATTTAGYAGCAGTCYTGRCTGTGTGGGGAGGWCCCRGCTGACTGRAAGTTATCAAATGTGATGCCCATCYWCAAGAAGGGCCACAAGGAGGATGTGGGGAACTACAGGCYTGTAGTGAGACCTCAGRGCTGGAGAAGGTCATGGAGCAGATCATCTGGAGTGCCATCACATGGCTCGTGCAGGACACCCAGGGGATCAGACCCACCCAGCCAGCATGGGTTTGTGAAAGGCAGGTCCTGCTTGACCAACCTGAGCTCCTTCTATGGCCAGGTGATCCATGCAGAGCATGAGGGAAAGGCTCTGGGTGTTGTCCACCTGGACTTCAGCTTTAACACCATTTCCCAGAGCATTCTCCTGGAGAAACTGGCTGATCATGGCCTGGACAGCTTAGCTGGGTATAAAACTGGCTTAATTGCTGGGTCCAGAGAGTGATAGGGACTGGAGTTATATCCAGCTGCCTGGTAGTCCCAGTTGCTGTTCCAGTTGGTCTTTTCCAACCTAAACAATTCTATGATTCCATGTTTTTCCATCAAAACTTTACCAGGTCACCATCTGCTGTGGYATGAATGCTTAGTATATAATAAAGCATAGTCAGGGTTGAAGAACATCTGGGTAATAAATTATATAAAGAATTTCCTAAGTTTTTGATCTGGGTATTTTTGTTTTCTTGGTTGGAATTTGATGAAGGAGTTGAAGGTATTCTTGAATATCTCTTTGATCCTACTTGGGGAATTTTTRGAAACTACTAAATTAACCTAACTAGGACAGGGCTTTCTAAAAACCTTCCTCTCCCTCCCTACCCTGCCCCCCAACATAAAACCACATTTTCTGTTTACTTTAATGCAGATACAATTCTTTACTCTGWGACTTTTTAGGGTCATTTTCCTCCTTTCCTGCAAAAAAGAGTCTTTTTCTACTGTAGAAATGTCAAAAGTGTTAATTGATATCGTCCCTACTTCTGTTGTACAATTTCACAAGAAAACTTGGTAAAAGAGGAGTTTCACTTTACTACTAGTACCGTTCCTTGACAAATCATTATTTTTAGTCAAAGTAATAGATTGGTAGGGTAGTACAGATCTTTCAAATTAACTTTTTTTATTATTATTTTAATGTATAATGGTGCCATTGTTTTAAAATGTTCTGTAGGCATCTAGTGTTCTTTGGAGGCAAAYTCTACTGCAGCTTAGTGGAAAAGATCGAGACATGACTTCCCAATCCATACAGGATTATTGATGTAGCATTGATAGTTAAAGCTGGAAAAGTATTGAAAAGCTGAAATGTGCTTAAAATCACAGTTTGATAGTACATGCTTTAATAATTCTGTAAGAGATAAATATGGGCAATTTGATTTTATACTTTGATGACCATCTGACTGGTTTTAGGTGATCAGCATGGCCTCATACAGACACATATATGAGCWGTTAAAAACATCAGTATACCTCAGGTTGTTTTCATGTTAATCCTTTTCTTTGTATCAGCACAGGATCCATCTGATACAAAAAGCACAGCTCTTGATACTTTATATTCATTGCTTTATCTTCTTCATTACACTGGAGACAAGGATCATTTTCTGCTTTCTAGTGAGATGGAGGGCAGGCATTATTCTTCCTGAGCAGGGCACAGGACATTAATAGCTTCCAAGGTCTTCCTCAAAAGAAATCGGTGCAATGGAAGTTACTGCATTTCTCAGCCCTTTCAAATAAAAGTGATCAAGTTTCAGCCACTGAGARGAGAAACTTGTTTTCTTTATTCTCTGCTTTCCGTGAGACTCAGGAGGATTTGATAGAGATATTAAGTGTCAAAAGGAATGCAGAGGGGATTTACTTTGGTGTCAGTTCATCCTGGCGAATGCAAAAACCACATTGTATAGGAGAATTTCATGTGATAATTTCCTTGGGAGCCTGGAGCCCCACAGCCCGAGACAATGGGACTTGACACCTGGTGACAATTACACTCAGCTCTGGTGATGAGTTACTGCTGCTGAACTGAGATGTTGCCAGCCATGTCTGTCACTGTCAGTGACCTGTCTCATSCTTGAAATCGGAGTGTTTTATGACTTGCCAGATGCAAAGATGCTAAACACAAAATGTTTAGCTTTTCGTCTCTTCCTCCTCTATAGTCTTAGTAATAAATCAGTTCCTGAATGCAAGTGAAGAATAACAGAAGTACAGAGCTCCAACAGCCCCAGTGGTTTTCATCATGTAGCCATGGCACAGGAGGGTAGAGGCAGCTCTGTAATTTCTTCACCTTGGTGTGAACTAAATGTGGTGTTTCCTCTGCRCCCCCAGACAGAAGTGCTGAGCTCACAGGGGCTGGGCCATGCCGAGTTAATGCGCTGCTTTTCTGCCTTGCTCAGCTACAGAGCAAACAAAATAAATCCCAGGGACAGACATTGTTCTYGTGGCATTCCATGCCCTTCAAATGATAACAATCTCCTGCTTTTCCTATGCTTTTAACATGAAGACTCCCAAAGCACTTAACAAAACATGCTAGTTCTGTTCAGTCCGCCCATAGGGATCTCTTCACCCCCCCTGATGTGAGCTGAATTGGAGTAAGGAGCAAGTCTGGACTGGTGGAGAGCAGTGCTAYGAGAGAAGAGCACCACAATATCTACCTACCTTGTCTTCTCAAACAGAAATCCAAAGGGATAATTTACTTGGAAAGAATGTAATCACTCGTTTGCATATTTGACTAGGGCAATGCTGATGATATTTTTTTTCCCTATGCAATGAGTAGTAATATATTCAGTTCAAGAATCTGGGATTAGAATTCTGTTTCAAATATTCCATTTCTGTGATGGGC